TTGATCTTAAATTACATGAAAAAATTCATGCTGGAGAAAAACCCCATCAATGTAAACAATGTGGACAGCCTTCACATTTCATAGTTCCTTACAGTTACTAGAGTAAATTAATTGTGACAGAGAACCCTGTAAATGTGAACAATTCCTATGGTTAAACTTCCTGAAATTACATGGCAGAGCAGTATCACACCACAGTGTTCTTTTAATGTCAAATAACTCATGGGAGAAAATTCCTAGAGATGTAAACTCCAACTGTTACTAATGCTTTGTATATGAGTTCACTTCAGTTATTGATAAGAACACACTCTCAAATCTCTATTAGAACATAAACAATGGGGGAAAGAGTGAACTATCACAGTTCCTAACAGCTACATTGTTTTATGTGATTTTTTTCCTGGGGAGATGTGAGTGGAAGTCGACTCACCTGAGATAGGGAACTAATGACAGAAGTTCTACCAAAGTCCTATTAGTTGAATCAGTGATTTTATTGGGGTTGCTTCCAGGAGCGTGGACAATCACAGACAGCTGCCATCACCAAAAATCCCTTCCAGTTTAAGCGATGACACATGGAAGCTGCAGTCCTGGAGATGTCTGCACAACTGGCAGGCAGCTTGGTTAGTTGGGGGATTTCTTCTTTACACAGTTGTTTACTGCATCTATAACCTTGTGGAGTGGCCTTGGCAGTCATATAATTTGAACGCTCCAGAACTCATTTACTTCTTGAGTCTCATGCCTCCCTTTGAGAGAGACTGTGTCAGTTTGTAGGAAATTTCTCAATAACAGACCAGCCTTTCCTCTGGCTCTTACATTGTTGTAATTCTTTTATATACTTGAGAGCAGAGAGTGTAGATATAAATATCCATCCATGGGCAACATTGGGCCACTGTGTCAGAGCAAAACTCATGTTTCTCAAAATCTTCACCATTGGTGTTGTACCATCCAATGTACAAGGAGATCTCCTTCCAGGCAGAATTGAAGCTGACGATAGGAGTGATCTATTAGGCATGAACTGAAATGTTGAGAAGGGAATTTGAGAGACACATCACATCCACCTGACAAAACAATAGCAATTGCTTCCCTATTGCGGCCTATGACTGATCCAGGAAGTTTTATTCCTGGCTTATAATATTAGACACAAACTTTCTCCCATGGAGTGGGCTGTAAATCCAATCTGAAAGCTGCTTGTTGAACTCAAACAGTAGTTGTGCCACTGTTGCACCAGGAGGCATATTCTGCCTGTCCTGTTGGTACTGGAGCATCCAGGGCTTATAGCTAAGCAAGGCTGCTGGTGTCAGTTCTCCTCCACCAGACTGCATTACACCTGGCACCATCCAAGCCAGCCAGTATGGAGGAAGATTCCACCTCATTCCAGCTTTATTTCTCCATGTCCTGCAACCCAAGCATGCGATGTCTTCAGCAATAGTGGCTTACCGTCTACTTTCAACAAGTACCCCCAAATAGTGGCAATAGTCTTCATGGTTTGTGGGACAGATAATCACTTGCCTCTGCCTCCTAAGTGGTCGTGAGGTCTCTGCCAAAACTTGGCTAATAAACCATAAAAAAATTAACTTAGCTCCAGTATGCTTGTGAGGGGGACATTTGCCCCTGATTGCTTTTAGTTCAGTTCTGAGCATCAGTGTTTGTGAAGTGAGTAGGCTTGTCACAGTCAATTATGTCAATTATATATCAGTTAGGAGAAAGCCTTGATGACGGCGTTACCTTTCC